AGAGAGAAAGAGAGAGAGAGAAAGAGAGAGAAAGAGAGAGAGAGAGAAACTGAACTAATAAAATTAATCATAGTTGAAAGACTGCATTCTATTTTGAAAATATCACATGTAGTGAAACAAAGGTTGGTTTTTAGAGGTTCATTATAATGGGAGTCAAGTGTATAAATGACATTTCCAGAAATGTTCCCATAGAATCATTCTCTTCTTAAAGGATACACTATTTCGAAAGTAGAAATAACTTACTCTGGCCCAGGAATAGTCCATAGGGACAGTTGGGGGAGGAACTTCTGGTGCTGGCAGGATCACTCCTTCCTGCACCAAGGATTCATACACCTCAGCAACAAGGTCTCCCAGGGAGTCGAAAGATGAGGGAACATGAGCTCCAGCTTCTGCCAGGGCCTTGTTCTTAGCAACAGCTGTCTCCCGGTCAGAATTGGCACAAGAACCAGCATGCCCAAACTGCACTTCAGAAGTGAACATACCTGCAAGAAATATTTGATTGCATGACTTATCAACCCTTTAAATAATAAAACAAAAGAACTACAGCAACACATCAAATCTTTACATTTATGTCTGTATTATTAGTTACAGAAAATATACTGATGTGTACCTAGGCAGACTTTAAAGAATACAAATTATAACGGCTATAACTAAAACCTTCAAAAACAATTGATAAATGATGCCACCTTTATTCCAAATATAGTTATTTTCTCTGTAAGATTTGTTTATATTAGAACTTCTCAGTATTACCCAAAAGAAAAATCGCATTTTCTCACCTGCACATGTGCCAATGCACCACGCCACTAGCGGCTTTGTGATTCGGCCATCAGATAAGGCATTGCATACATCATATTCTTCTACTCCACCCACTTCACCCAATAGAACAATCATTTTTACCTATTGGAACACATTGCAGAGAGTTAATGGCAAAAACATTCGGATTTGTAATACTTAATTTAAGGTAAATAAACAACAACAAACTTAAGTTTCCTTGTAAAGTTCCTCTTAAAATTTGATAAAAAATTTGTTAGTAAGAAAACCATAATCTTTTTAAGACAAAAAGCAAAAACAGGACTTCACTAAACTGCAACCTTGTGTTATTTGTTCTTATGTTTTATGACACATGAACACAAATTAAATCAATCGATTACGTCAGGGAAGATTTCATTATTGTGATATTAAAATATCAGAGGTAAGCTGTCAAAAGTGAAGGGACAAAATCGATCTCCCATATTAATAAATTATTAATTGGAGAGTAGTAAACAATTTAATTTCTTTAATCCTAAATTTAAGTTTGTTTCCATTTTCAAATTTCCTTCATTGTCAGTAACAGGCTGTCAAAATGGGGGCCAAGGTCTTTGAGAGGACTGTGAAATGATTTTAGGGAGATACTGAAGAGACCACCAGGTGAATTTTGGGCTATTGGTGATTGCTGCCATTTGTTGTTATGTCCTACCATTGGATCACATTGTTGAGACCCAATTCATTTTTGATGAATCGTATTTAGGAATGAAAGGAACAGGCATGAACTAACCATTAACCAACAAATTATCTGATCTAACAACAGAAAACATTTTTTCTACTTCCATGTTTCAGGGTTGACAAATGCAACAAAAATAGTTTTCACAGAAATAACATTATAATCTCTTGTTTCATACCTCTGGGTCTGCCTGGTACCGCATAATGTGGTCCATGAAGTTAGTGCCTGGGTATCGGTCTCCTCCAATTGCCACTCCTTCCAATACTCCATTTGTTGCTTTGGAGACAATATTGTTGAGTTCGTTTGACATACCTCCGGATCGAGATACATATGCCACACTAAAAGCAAACAAAAAGAAAATTATTACAAGAGTTTATACTAAGAGACAAAATCTGCAACTCAACTGCCCATGCAATTAAGTTTTTATTACATAGGAGCAGATATTTCTTATTATGGAGTTTCCCTCAAAAACACATTAGTACCTTATTAATATGCAACTCAGTATAATGAAAGAGCAAGAGTAGGGATTTCAGAGCTCAAAAACACATGCAGATTGCATATCTGCCCCATATGTTGCTCAGAGCTTTTAACATGTATTTCTTTATTTAATATTTTTAACAACTTGGAAACCTAGACCATAAAATTAACATAATAAAATAAAATAATGATAAACATTTCACTGGATATGTATTGCCTAATGAAATATGTCATCATTAAAATATCATGTCTAAAACTTGCACATAATTTCGCACACAACTGGCTTGCATACCATGCAGATAAACAGACTGAAACAATGAGAGAATATTTCCTGTGCACAAGCCACATCTGCTTGTAAATATTCACACTAATGACAAATTTTCATTAAAATGTAAACCTGATAATTATTTAACAACTTAGCTGTGTTTAGATAGTAACCTAGATGCACATTGTGATCACACATATCACAAGTGACTTTAAGAGAAAAACATAAATCATCATTATTAAATGAAATTAAATCAATGCAAGATGTTTAACTAAAATTGGTCTTATCAGAACGTATACAAAATATAGTTATTTCAACACTCGTTTACTTTACATACCTGCCTGGCCGGTACAATTTTGAGTGAAGAATGTTGTCCATCATGCCTCCAGTATTTCCTATCTTGAAGCAACCTGGTTTGACTCCACCTACAGTAGCAGGTCCAATAATGGTCACGCCTTTCTCTTGAGCCATGAGAATAAGCTTTCGAGTAAGATTTTCAGGAATTCCTTCAGCTATAATTGCAATGGTCCGTATCTGTTCACCAAAGAGCAACATTTTATTTTCACTTCATTTTATGAAGTATTGTTTTGGCAGTGATGCATGCTATTAATTTCCACAATGATGACAGTACTTACCTGGGGATAATTCATTGTATCAACAGTGCTCTCATAGGCTGAACGCAACGAGGCAAAGTTCACCAACACATCAGCATTCTGGTGTTTGGTCATAGCATCCTCCATTTTCTTGTACACTAGAAAAGTTAATCAATTATTTCTTGATCTGATAAACATTAAGGCATCATGCTAATAACTCTTTACCTGGTATGAGTATTTCCTTGTGGCCCCAATAAAATTTTTGTTTGTGATCTCCAGTGAAGGGATATACCATAGCCACAACAGATGGTTCAGTTCGGCAGCACACAAAATCAAAATCCAGCATACTCTGAAAGAGAAATTTTTATTAAGATTTTCATTAACATAGGGATAAAATAAAAATAAAATAAGAAAGAACAAAAGAGAGAAAAAAGCAAAAAGGAAAAGAAAACAGTATGAATAAGTGGGAGAGCACTTGTGTCTATTCTTCCACTTTCCCTCAAAATAAAAGTAAATCACCTGAACTACTGGTTTATTTTAACATCACATTTGCATTTGGGAACTATTAAAACATAAACATACCAATCTATAAATTGAAATAATAGAAAATAAGTAAGTTATACTCAAAGGCCTGCAAATGTGAAAAAATGATGTTTCAACTTGCTGGTACACATTATTGTATTCTAAATTTTAATTTTATTTTATTTTGAGCAACCAGCACATTTTTGGAGTATTTCAATTAACATTTTAGGAAAAAGAAAAATAATCTGTCTTTACCAAAATAACTACTTATCTACTACACTACTGACGCAGAATCTAAGCGACAACAACCAGATGTTTTTGCACACAGTTTCCTTTTTAATTTTCGACAGACCCACACAGAAAGCCACAGAAATGTGTAAAACTACTTTATACATCAAATAAGGCCAATATTTAGGTAAATGAAAACAAATATAAGTGTCCACCACCACAACAACAACAACAACAACAACAACAACAATAATAATAATAATAATAATAACAACAATAATAAAAGAAAGGAAGGCTATTTTTCCAATGTGTAAAGTAATTGAAATAATATGTTAAATAAAACATGTACACTCACTTGCACAGCTCTAGTTTGTAACCCCCACACAATAGCCTTAGTGCTTTTGTTGAATAGCACTCCCTTTCTCTGAGGGGCATCTCCTGACTGTCCACTCGCTTGCCCAGATGTTTCCCGAGAGGTGGTAGTGGGTGCAAGGGTACTTGTAGAGCTCTTGCGCGACTGCAGAGGACTCTCCTAATAACAAGGATAACAGTGCTAAGCAATGCACATCGCACTTTAGAGAGCTGAAAATCAAATTTAGTGAACATATAATTAGAAATTAGGGAAGGACTTCTATGAACAGGAAAGTTCATATCAAATCAATGATAAATAATTAATATAAGGAATAAAATTAAGTATACATTAATTTAATAGTAGAATGAAAAATAATAACAAATATTACAAACTACAATGTATTTAGAACCAACATAATACATTTTTGGTTGGGAAGTGAATTATTAATTCAATTTATAATATCAGTTACCACTAGAATCGAGTTATAAATTTCAATATTTCTATTAATACAGTTATCATTATCACCAAATATCAGAAAAGTGTGACCTCACATTTTCTACAGTACCAGCAACGTAGAAACACAATCTTGACTGTGAGAAAGTAAAGAAATCCTTGCAAGCTGATTGCTTCAGAGCAGATCCCACAGCATGTGGTGGGAGAACTGTCAGAGTTGCTTATACGCTGCTGGTAATTTAGTTGTGCGTATGTGATCTTGAGAAGAAAGAAAGATGCAAGAGAGCTAAAAAAGATAATGAAATAACATACCTTGTTTTGACCTCCTGGTAACAAAAAGTTGGCTGTGGAGAATTCCATTGCAGTCACACTAGGAATTGGCTTTTTCCCAAGAGCCATACCCACAATGGCGGTCATATGAGTTTCTGGACCAAACACATGAAGGGGGATGCCCAGGTTCTGACCCACTTCTCTCATTATCCTACGGCAAAAAATTATTATTAACAAATTATTACATAATATTTTTCACATTTTTGTAAAAATCACTCAACATTACAATAATTGAAATTTATAATTGAATATTAATTATTTCAGTATTATAATTCAGTATTTAATAACAATTTAAAAAATACCTTAAGCCTTCCTGATAATTTGGACCAGCACGGCGCACAAAAATGGATATATTGTGTTCTACAAGTTTAGGTTGGAATTCTTGCAATGCAGTGACTATTCCCTTAAAAGTGGCAGCAACATTTGTAAAATTAGCAATTCCTCCACCAATAATCAATACCTGAAACACATCAAAGACAAAGGGTAAGGAAATGATTTTAACATATGCCCAGATCTACAAATAGACTGGGAATATCTTATATACTAAATGACTTCACTAAATTTTCTAATATTTACATTTATTAATAAATCATTGGAAAAAAATTAAAAATATGTTACTTTCATGAGAAGTTATTTCAAAATAGTTATATAATATAATTTGCAAATGAAGATTACCTTCCCTTTAGGATGTTTTTCTTGAGTCATTAGGCTGAGTATAGTCTTTGCATATTCATAAGTTTGTTGTTCTGTGGGTGCACCACTATATTCACCATAATTTGCAAGTTCAGGTGCTCCTCCAAGATCACAAATAGTATCACTGTAAATAACCGATGCTCCTCCACCAGCTACCATGGTCCAAATGCGACCAGATTTGTTCAAGATCGTCAACTGCAACAGCAAAATATGTAAATGAAAGGACTTATAATAATGACTTGGAACATGTCAGAACATGAAGTGTTAGAGTGGTGACATGTCATTTTTGGAACCAATGGTTCATACTGTCATGTTGGCCAGTCTAAAGGGCATTAAAGAATAACATTTCGCTGTCAATGTTTGAAATTATAAGTAATAATGATGAATAATTTTACTCGTATATCAAATCACATTATATGGTTTTCAGGATAAATCCACTTCCACAATTACTGACATTTGTTTCATAAAGAATATTAAGAAGTTACAAAGAACCAAAAGATAAATCTGTAGCACTTCTGTATTCAAGAGTCCCCATATTCATTTTTTTTCCATCAAATTTCCTTAAGAACTAAAGTATTTTAAATATAGAGTTTCAAAGAAAGCTTTACAATTTAGTTAGTGCACGAGTTAGGAAGATAGGTAAAGTTTAAATATAATAATGTCCCATCCCCATTTGACAATGCACATTTCTGTTATACACCAAATCTTGCTATGCCCTATACACTCTCAGGTCAAGCTCCAACATTGAGACACTTTGAACAATGTATTTTGCAAAAGTACACTTACACCTAAAATATGGAATAATATTCTGGTGAAATGCCCCTGAAAGCACTCTCACATTTATTATCCAAAACAGAATATTGTGAACACTGACCAGCACTCATAAGCTGAAGTCTTGCAAACTTTTGTTCAATAAAGTAAGGATCTTCCTCTACCATGCATGTATATATTTGAAATAGTGGTCTTCACAAAGAAGATTGTCATGGAAAAGAAAGACACTTTTACTCTAAATTCCGTTGTACACCACTACAAGACTCGTGAAAAGGATAATCTACATGTTCCCAACTCTGAAACTACACTTTATCAAAAAAGTACCCTAAGAGAGGGTATTACAGTTTACAACAAACTAGGCAATGATATTAAAGACATAAACACAATTAATACATTTATAAGTAAATTGAATGCTTTCCTGAAGGTTCTACAGTGTGAAGAAATATTCAAATCACAACAATATTTCCCTTAAAAAAACATAAATAAATTAAATTTCTTATCCCATTTGACTTTCTATTTCATGTTAACTGTTTCGAGGTCAAACAAAGAAAAAATAACTGTCATATCGCATCCTGTGACGTAGAAGGAGGAAGCCTGAAAAAAAAAATCTGTTTCTCTCTAGATTCGATAAATGCATTAGGTACTGCATTAGGACTAGGTGTACAAATAGAAAAAGAAACTGGTCAAAAACTGGCCTCTTCTAAAAATGTTGAATACTGTCAAAGATTTGCAGTATTTTTTGAAAATAATTTTACAAGCCACCAACTCCTAAGACGTCTCCATAACTCCATAAGTGGCAGATTTGATCTGAATTCTTCTCCCTGCTTTCCAAATGCTTTCTGGATCCACCTCTGAATTAAAATTGATTGATAATCTGATTGCATTGATAAGAAGAGCTACATCATAATAAGAAGAGGAAACTACATGAATTGCGAGACCAAGGGTTGACCTGAGAAGTGATACTACTATTGGCCAGCATTCTTATATATTCTGGTTACAATAACATAACCTTGCAAAACTATTATATAATTTGCTCAAGAATGATTTTAACAACCCTAATGAGATTTCAATGTTCAGAAAAAAATTAAGTTGGGTGTTAATAGGTGAAATTTCAGCACCTTGGATCACAGGGTAAAAAATGATCCCTTTTATATAATTTTGGCCCTTTGATAAATAAGTAGAGGGACAAGATCAAGTACAAAATGTGTGCTGCTAGGATGAATTGGTTCCACACAAATTAGTTATTACAATGCACAGAAATCAATTAATCTATTTTACCTTCAATGATGCTCCACTCTTGGCATCCAGATCTGCAATATAGGCTTCCTCAGGGAATGCATCTCTGCCAAATGGAGGGGGATATTCAATCTCTCCCCACTTTTGTCGACAAATGAAATCAGCAGTGGCATCTATCTTGGCAGCCAAGTCGAGAATGTATATTGATTTGCTGGTTACAACTAATGGATTTATTTCCAGGTAAGTGAAGTACAAATCCACGTACACTTGATATAATTTTTCAATAAATGTAGCAACCATTCTAAAACAATGAGGTGAATTTAAAACACAGTTGCATCAAATTTTACAGAAGTAAATACATTCACTACTACATTCTACATGACATACTTTTTCTTTAATTGTGGTAATTTCTTCAGGAGCTTCTCTTCAATTTCAGCTGCAGTAATACTTGCACCCACAGCTACATCAACTTTTGTAGCTTTTGCATCTACATCACCAATGTCCACACCACCTTCATGATGGAATAGAATAGTATCTGCATATCGATGAGAGTAGATGCAAACATATGCCTCTTCATCCTACAAAGTACCAAAATTATGAATTTCATTGAACAGCAAATAGATTAAAAAGATGCATGAATTGTAGGGGGGAGGAACTTTTTACCCTCAAAGATTGTATCTTTATGGCTGCAGGTGTAATTAAAAAGAAAAATTAACCTGCTCTCTTATAAGTGGTAAAAACTTTTCATAATAGTAACAGGCAAAACTAGACAGTAATTAACTTATAAGCAAAGCAACTCTTTATAAAATTGCTTGTAAAATACAATACATCAATGTAATTTGTTTATAATTGGTAACAAACCATTTAAAAATATTGTTAAATTGTTAAAAAATGATTTAGTTTATAAATATGTTTTTCAAACATTAATCTCTATGTGAACAATTTAATTTCAAATTACAAGTATTACTCCAACAAATTGACTGATTTATGCTAAATAGCAAGGACCTCACTTTTGAGATGCTTATCAATTTCTGTTACAGATATACATCAATATTTTGATTTGGCATCTTTCTTGTTTTGCTTCTTGTATTTGGCACATTAGCTAAATATTTTTCTCATGTTTAAAAGATTTATTACCACCCAACCACCCATACATTTACACAAACTAAAAAAAGTCACTTTATGCTATTTCACTCTCAACTCATAGACCTCTGAATCTTAGCCACATTGGGTAATGATTTTCTTAATACAATTGTTCAAATATGAGTATTATTTTGCACTGTAGAAACAAACAAGGGACTCCTTCATTAATATCCCAACTGTCCTTAACAGTGCATCACTTTCTCCGTCAACAAGTTTCAGTAACAGTTTTTAAGCAGAATAATCACTTGTTAACAATATTTTTTAACATCACTTAGGCACTAGTCTGAATATAATCCACAAGTAGCATTGGGCCAAATAATGTTCTATGGATGAATAGTTATATGAAGAGCAGAGATAAGCAACAGCAAATGCTTATTTATTTTGAAACTCACCTGTTTATGTGTCACAAAGGGCTCAATTATGAAGTTACGCAGTTTGCCAGTAGCTCGTCCTACTGTCTGATCACGTCCCATGCGTTCGCCCACCCATGAGCGTACAGCACTCAGATCTGCATTCACAGCAATGAGACCCAACTTCCCACGTCGCTTGATCAGCTGATCAGGTTTCACCACTAATTTCTGAAAACATATTATTGGTCCTTGGAAATACAACAGAAATGTAGTTATAATAATGGAACCAATCTACAGGTGTAGGCCTAATCAAGAGTACATGAAAAGGAAAGTAGAAAATTAACGAATATGCTGTGAAGGTACCATAGGCTTGTGCAGGGGAGATGGGTGGGAGGAAACTGCCATTGTAGTCTCGTGTAATAAATCATTTTTAATTTTTGTAAGTGTTAAATCCCTGATAAAAATTATGTTTGGTAGGCATGGATACATTTTGAAATTTGTAGTGATGACAAACAGATGGACCCAGTCTATTCACATACAATTACCATATTTATGTTAAAGGATTATTGCCTCACTGAATAGGGATAAAAATATTGAAAAATTGAAATGCTTTACTCTGTTGCATAAGTCAACAATTGTGATGTCATCATTATCTAGTTGACTGGTTATTTTTCTATAATTAAAAATTAAACTTTCCCCCCACCAAAAAAAAAAGTAGGTATTTCCAAAAAGTTATCAAATAATTGAACATTTTGAACATACTTTCCCTTTTTTATTAATTATATTTTACAATGTATTACATAAAAAATGGGACATGAAATATGCGAAAATTTCTAAAACTTTCCAGTAGCTAATATCCCCCGGACATATGGCTTAGTTGCAGTCAATCCCTCCTACAACCACACAAAATTGTATAAGGGGACCCAGAAATGTAATTCACCCCCTTTTCTTTTACACAGGGCACACACCTACAGAAGATAATTAAGAGTGATAGAAAAAGGTACTAATTTCTCAAATAAATTTAAAGGGTACCAACAAATTAAAGAAACATTCAATCTTTTTTTCAGAGCATAAATTTGAGAAGACTTTTGGCATTCCAGAAGTTAGACCTTGAAAATTAAAACAGGAATAAATCAATCTTTATTTATGCATAATTATATGTATTTATGATGGTCATATTTCAATATTATAATGCCTATCAATGTACATCACAAAATACAAAGTAATTATAAACTGAAATTAGGCAAACTAGGCCATTTGTCAAAGGTGAGAACTTTTCATAGGTTGTTAGTAATAATTTTCATGGCAGCAACAATTTTGAAAAGAACAAAATATTATCAGCAGAATTTTAGGCATTAATTAATAAACTAATGGACTTTCATTGACATATGCATGTGAAAAGTACAAAATGCTTCTATTAACAAGTTTTAACTACAGGTAACACACAAAAAAATGCTTTCAGAAACACTGTACATCCATAGTAATTATTATTCTACACTACAAGAAGATTGACAGCTCGAATAAGAAGTTAATGGAAATTTATATATGAAGGTGACAGTCTGTACTGTTTTGAAATTGAATACAAAAAATGAACTGAATAGCTAATAAATGTGGCAATGTCAATGACGGTTGAAAGACTGGAGCCATCACCAGAGGCACTGGATAAATGAATGAAGGGTTTAAGTGTAAAACATGATAACCTACACAGAAGTCCTTTTCATCCAAGTAAGGAAGTGAACCTTTTGAATAAAGGGTTTTAAGTGGAACACACAAAAAAGGGCAACAAGCAAGGGCGATCCATGATCAGTATAATTAACTATTGAGCTACGCATAAGACTGCATGGACAAGAGATGACGCATTCTAAAAATTGCACTCCCGGTCACCAATATTTCATTTTTGAAGGTTATCATGTTTTACGCAGGAGACTTTCAAATCAAAAGCAACGAACAAACATCAGGTTCAACCCCGTTAAAAAAAGTGCGCCGGCTACGCTGATGTTCTACGGCAAGGGACGTGAACGAGTCGGAGGGGAGGGTCGGCGGCAACCAAAGACGAGTGAATTAGAGGAAGCCGCTGACTGGCCCTCGCCTGATACTGCATGGACCGACGATGCCCCGCCCCCTCTCTCCTCAGTCTTCGCGCCATGCCACACGGTGACATTCTCACAGATGAAGCTACTACAGTTCAACTGCATTCGAATGGAAAAAAGACAATTTAATTCGAATTTCAGGCAAATAAATATGCTGGGCCGTACCATGTATCATAACAAGTGATTTAAAAAATATATTGATCTAAATAGAATGACAGATGAAGATAATAAAAATTAATAAATAAATACTGCCGGAGTACAAAAGAGAATGGTTCTTTCGGCTGAGACGGGGTAAGAGGTAAACGAAAATGAGGTAGTCGGAGATAAGATGTAATAGGGTGGAACATGCTTGTGCCCAATAAAATTGATACAATGTGGTAAAATGGAATGTAATTAATAAGATGTGGTGATATGGAATGGAATGTGAAGAGATGGGATGGAGCAATAGAAGATACAAGGGAGTAGGTTTTCGTATGAACTAATGGGTAAATAATATAATGAAGAGTTAAATATGGTAGGAGGTAAGGAGTGGTAACATATGCTAGTGGAATTCAAGTGGATCATAACAATGGTAAGATAGTTTGGGGACAGAGCTGGCCAAAGAAGGATTGGGTAGGGTAGAGTATTGAAAGGTTCGGACAGGTATATTCGGACAGATAAAAGAGGATAGGACAGGAGGGGTTTGAAGTATAACGATGCTGTAAATTGGGGTAAGTGGGAGGGGTGAGTATGGTAGAACAGTAAAAGTAAAAGGTGGGGCGGGTAGGACAGATGGGATGTGGAGACGGTAGGAATGGTGTTGCTGGGGTGAGGTAGGGGAGGTTAAATGAGGGTAGCAAAGGTAGGCTATGTTAACTAAGATGTGGATCAGGATAAGTGAAGCCATTAATAGGCTAGAGAAAGGGGTAGCAAACTGAAAGAGTGGAAACGATAAGAAAGAGAACGGTGTACAACAGGATAAGATATTTCGATATGAAATAGGTAGGTTTCCACCCACCTCCTATTGAGAGGTGGAAGTGACAGGTTGGTTGGGATGAAAGTTGGGGG